CTGCTGTCATGAGACTTCTGTTTCCTCATACCTTTGTGATTGATCTGGTAGCTTCACGTCACAGAAGCTGTTTTCATCAGATTTTTATTTTATGTATTTACTTTGTGACCAAAAGGCTCCATTGTCCTTCAGACTTGATGTTTTTCAACTTTAACACGAATTAACGATAATGGATGGATGGATTTTCCCACCCTGTCTAAACTTTTATTGTGGTGTTTTTTTAAAATGATGACACACTGCAATATAGTTTGTGGTTAAGGAGTCATATGCTTCTCAGTATGTCCTGATACGAAAAACCTGTGAATAGGACGAGGACGTGCTCATTTTCCACGGAACTGTAATTATCTCCCATCTTCACTCTGCTTTGACACGACCTTTGACTTCCTAACAATTACAAACTAAAAACCGTCACACAGTAAAAAGTTTATCGAACTATCTGCTGTCATGAGACTTCTGTTTCCTCATACCTTTCTGATTGTTGTGATAGCTTAACGTAGAATCCATCACTTGTTTTTATCAGATTTTTATTTTCTATATTTACTTTGTGACCAAAAGGCTCCATTGTCCCTCAGACTTGATGTTTGTCAACTTCAACTCATATTCAACAGCAGATTCAAGTGAATTAAAGGTGAAAGAAGGAATTAATGAAGTCTGAACGAGGTCCAAGAAACTGTCCTAAAGCTTATCCTGTTGATTGATGTGCTCAGACACACCTTTCAGTTTCCTTCTCATGGCTGTTGACAGTCAGTAGGAATGCCGTCTAACTGGATGCGGAAATCTGCCACGCAGCCAAAACCAACTGAATTAATTTATTAACTAATAGAGAGCACAAGTGTTTGATGAGTCTGAAGAGCTGCTTTAGATGTGCTTTTTGCACGTAAAATCACTGTAAACTGGGTTCTGTCACCAATGTGTTTGTCTTTGTATATTTCGATATTTCGATAGTTTGATATGTTTTTATTCTGTAAAGCACTTTGGTCAGCTCCGGTTGTTGTAAAGTGCTATATAAATAAACATTGATTGATTTTATGTTAACGTTCATGTTAAACTGCAGAAATCAAAGAAACCCAAAGAAAACGTTAATTAAAGCGGCTGCTCGTCTTTAAAGGCTTTCCTGTTTTTCTGTCCGACTGACTGAGCTTC